CTCAGAGAATATTTATATTGTATACTATATGAAGAAAATAGTAGTTATTAATTTTGCGCGATTTACAATAAAAACATTTTCCTTGGAAAGCTCGTAATATTGAACAGTATGTATATACACCACGTAATATATACGTGCACTTTTCGCGAATTTCAAAAATTATTATATAGCATGTAAGAATATTTGACAAATTTTAAACTGTATCTGCGTTAATCTGATTCGAATCGAAGACCAAATACTGTGAATAATAAACGACTACCTCCTTATAAATCACTTGCATATTTATTCCGAAATAAACCTTCCAATCATTGAAAATGCTGATCAGCAGTTTTTGTGACAAAAAAATTTATCGACCAATGCGGAAGTTATACGAGGAATGTCACTAACCTACGAAATTGAACCTATCATTATAAAACAAATTACAGAATGAAACCTAAAAAACTTAAAACGCATCTATTTTTCATTTATTTTTGTATTTATTGAAATAAAACCTTATGAATAATTAAATTGACCCATTTCTTAAATTTAGACTATCGAAAAATTTCATATCAGCGACCTCTAACCTCTTCACTATTCTCAAAGAAATTAACTTATTTTTTTTTAGGTTATGCTTTTTCATAAATAAAGCAAAGAGAATTGATTGAATTTCAAATATAAAAAACTGAAATAACTCGCTTCGTATTTATTAATATTAAATTTCCCGCCACTGCGCAACGTACGTCGCATTGAGAATGGATTCCGAATCTGTTCGCTCTATATTCAGCGGCCAAAGTGCGGAGTGGGAGTGTGTCAGTCCTAGATGCTGTGATGGATGAAGTTTCGTTAAACGGTACGTCTTTTTCGACAAAGTAAGACGTTATTTTCGGGCCAGACAAAAGGATTCACAGTGTAGATTGTGTAATGTTTCGGAATTATGCGCGCGATTAACGAATTGATCGATGATTTTCTGTGTACGCTTTATCCTCTGTGGATCGCGTGGGCGTTCTGTCTTCGAAGTCTCTACTTGGCCTACGCTCTTTGCCAGACTTTATTTACAGACTGTATTCTTTCAATTGTACATTAACGGAGAACGTCATGTTTCGTGGAACCTCTTGCAGTCACGGTGACGTGTTTCTCTCATTGACAAGCTCAACCGTGAATCACGTTTCCTTCCTACTATACGTCCCTGACGCGTTCTATTTTGCGTTTCATTGTGCCGTGTTTGTTTTTGTAATAACGACAGCTTTTAACCGTTTGAAATTGAATGTTCGAGAAAATTTCTATCACCCGGTGTACAGGAAACGTTTACGACGAAAGGCGTGCAAAAACGCGTGTACCCTTGCCGATGTAAATAGACATCAGGGACGTAGAAATACTTGTAGTCCGAAGATCGAGTTTAACATTGCAAAATCCTTGAATTCTCGATATATGTAGGTCATAAGTGATCTGTTTTTTCAATCAGATTTGTTTTCAATATCTTCCAGATCAGGGAAGTGGGGAAATTGGAGGGACACTAACATGTGCTGGATGTCTCAATGCAATTGATGAGGATGAATTTATACAGGCACTAAATCAAGAATGGCACATTGATTGCTTCTGGTAAAGATGAATGAATTATGAAAAATAAATGATGCTTGAAAACTTAAGCTTCTAGCCAATTAGTGATATAATAAATAAAACTATCTTTTAGCTGCTCAGCATGTGATATTGGTCTCTCCTCGTGGTATTTTGAGAAGGATGGCTTACTTTTCTGTAAAGATGACTACTGGGCTGCTTATGGGGAAGCCTGTCAAGGTTGTGGCCAAATCATCACAGGTCCAGTCATGCTGGCAGGAGATCACAAATTTCACCCAGAATGTTTTGCCTGTAACTCTTGCGGAGCTTTCATTGGGGATGGAGAGAGTTATGCATTGGTTGAAAGATCCAAGCTCTATTGTGGAAGTTGTTACAAGAGGCAGATGCAGCCAATCAATAGGACAGCTAATCATCCATTCACCAGGAAGCCACATAGCATCAGATTGGTAGAAATACCTCCAAATACTTCTGATCCTGAGAAACAGAGAGGAATCAAGCTGACGTTAGACACAACCCCTAGTCCTCGAAATTGTGGTGCTTTGCTTCGTATATCTGAGTATGTATAAGAATATATATTTATTTTTATTCTATGGGTGGAAATTAAAAGTGAGATTTAGTTATGTAAAAAGCCATTGACAATTTTTTATGGTACTTTAAAACAAACGTGCAAAACAGGAGAGAGTACAAAATGTTCACTACTAAGATAAACTTGTGTTATCATACACTATAAAGTTATATTACTGTAGCTTTCCTATAATATTTAACATCATGTATGAATGTGATTACTTAAAAAAGCTAGTACAGAAGAGTAGCCTCTAATAACTTTAAACTAAAATGCAGGTTAATGAGAAATGTTCGTGGAAAGATCAGTAAGCTGCTGGCCTTTGTGATGGAGGTTCTATTTAGGCTATGCTGCCACTTCTCTAATCATAGGTACAGCATAACAAATGAATAATATGCACTGGATATTGTATTTTTACAAATTAGATGTGTGTCTCTTAGTATCTGCTATTTAACTGCACGCAAAATACGTATCTTGTGCAAAATAGTCTATCTGTGTATATTTGTTTATACCATCATATGTGCCATATAGATGTGTAAGCATGTAACATTCATGATGAAGTGACAGTTTATACACTCCAAAATTAATAGGAACACATTATTGATATGAAAATATAATTGTTAATTTTATTTTAATATTTTTACATGTACTTCTGTCATTCTATATGTTTATAGCAAACATCTCTTATTTCCTTTACATTCTCTATATTATACATCTTGTGTCTTTGTACTTATAAAATATACAAGGTTAAACATGAACATGCAGATTAGTGATATTTAGTTTGCCTTCTAATCTTTATATTATCATGATATTATTTATCATATTCAAATATGAATTAAATGCACGCAAAGTTTTGCATGTTTTGTTCAAAAAACAAAAAAAAAAAATGAAAAAAAAGTTTCTTGAACATAGGAAATGTCATGTGAAATGTGTTACAGACTGAATATGTCCAGTGATCTCATATCTTTACACATTGGCGACCGAATACTCGAAGTCAATGGCACTCCAGTTAAGGATCAGCCCATAGAGAGCATTGAAAATCTTATACAACATTCAGACACAGTTTTACAGGTAATACACATGCTTTTCAGAAAAACTGTGCTATGCTTCTTGATCGATTATAATGAATATAGCAACAAATGCATCTGATTGAATTTTCTAGTTAACCATTGAACACGATCCGGACGCAGTATCGCGACGACCAACATTTTCTTCGCCGTCTGCGGCGATGTTGACATCGATCCCAAGTCCAAGGACGAGTCCAGAAAATAAAGAACGTTTATTTAAACGTCGCGATGAAGGTTATATCAGTGGAACTCGAAGCAGACAGTTGCGGAGAACTAGAGATCCTATGCACAAAGAGCGGAGTAGCTCCATGTCGCGACTGCTTGACGGGTATAAATTAATTTCAATTGTTAATCTAACAAATGAAAAAGATTCTTTGCAAAATTGGTAAAAATTGTAAATTTACTATTTTCTTCCAATATTTTTACAGATCTGCAACAAATCCTACATGTGACTTAAGCAGAACTAGATCGTTTCGTGTCGAACCAAAGAATCAAAGAATATTCCGTGCCAGTGATCTAGTGAAGGGTGAACTCTTGGGTACAGGATTTTTTGGACAAGTGTTCAAAGTCACACACAGGGATACCAATGAAGTAATGGTCTTAAAAGAGTTGTACAGAGTGGACGAAGAAGCTCAAAAGAATTTTTTGAAAGAGGTAAGTGTTGTACCTACAATCAGAAGATTGTCCCATCACAGTTGATTCACCTAATTTATGTACAGATATTTCATTTCTTTTATTTTCCATTTTTATTCCATACAAAAATTCAACAGGTAGCTGTGTTACGCTCGTTACACCATAACAATGTTCTCCGATTCATCGGTGTTCTCTACAAAGATAAAAAGCTGCATTTGGTCACCGAGTATATATCAGGCGGTACTCTGAGAGCCCTACTGCACGATGCGAACGAAATTCTACCGTGGGAGCAGCGTACGTCGTTTGCTAAAGATATAGCCGCCGGTATGGCTTACTTACATTCCATGAATATCATTCATCGAGACTTGAACTCGCACAATTGTCTCGTACGCGAGGATAAGACTGTGGTCGTGGCCGACTTTGGCCTCGCCAGGATAATACAAAATGGCAACTCACCCGACAATCGTAAATACAACAGACATTCCGACGGAGAGGCGAAAACTTCTAAAAAAGAGCGGAAAAAAAGGTATACAGTGGTCGGGAATCCATATTGGATGGCGCCTGAGATGATGAAGGGCAACAAATACGACGAGAAAGTGGACATATTCAGCTTTGGCATAGTTGTTTGTGAAATAATCGGACGAGTCCAAGCCGATCCCGATTATTTACCAAGATCCTCAGATTTTGGTCTAAATCAAAATGTATTCAAGGAGAAATTCTGTTCCAATTGTCCAGAGATGTTCTATATGATCGCCTTTCTTTGTTGCGACCTGAACCCTGACAAGAGACCGCCTTTTGAGGTTATGCATATCTGGTTAAATGGTTTAGCGATGCATTTATCAGTTGGGGTAGAGTTACCTTCGGATTTAGAGTTTGATATTAGAAATTACACAGGGCCAAGTACAAGTACTAGTGAATCTAATACTCCAGAGAGTTTAGCGCTTCAATTGAAGCCTATTAAAGAAGGTCAAGTGCATCAAGAGAAGAAAAGGTGCAGTGGATGCGACGACAGCACGCTGGAACGCGAGGATGTTGTGCTCAATAACAATATGCTTCAAGTGCCTGACGTGATCAGTCCTCGTGGAAGGTACACCAGGCAGAACAGTAAAACGAGCGAGTCGTCTGGAAACTCTGGTCGTTATTCGAGACAAAACTCGAGATCCAAGGAAATTTCTATCGAAAAGCCAGATATTGTTATTTCGCCAGAGGCTAGTGTATTTGTTGGCTGTTTCCCGAGACAGGCGATCAAATCGAACGAATCTTCTCCTCACTATTCCAACGACAAACAGGACTCACACGTCAAACAGAATGATCAGACTGAGTGTAACCCGAAACGGATACCATCTACGATTGAAAAAATCAGATATCTGGGCAGAGCAAGTCCGTGCTCTCTGTCGGACACTCCTGAATACATTATCGATAACAAGTGCTCGTACAAAGTGAATAATATTTTGAACTCAAAGTCACCAGAAAAGAGCAACGAGCATAATTTGGTCAGCAGTGGTGGCCATTCGAGAACCAAGCTAGAGGGCAAGTTCAAGATGCCCGATGCAAATTCTGTCAGTTCCTATTTGAAACAAATTGGTAAATCTACGACGAACACTATGGAGAAGGAGAATAAAAATGACAGTCAGAACGATAATGAGGTGAAGAAGTCTGGTGCTGAGACCCCAAAGTCATCGTCAGGTTCCTATCTGAGAAGGACCAAGATTTCTCCCACGAAGGAAACGCCAAAGAATGCATTTTCGACACAGAAAAACGGACAATCCGAAGCTGGTACTTCGTTGCAATCAAAAGTAACCGTAAGCCCAGGAGAAGTAGTTGAAACTGAGCCTACCAACGACAGGGTGACCAGACAGGAAAGTAACGTGTCAGATATTGGCATTATATTGTCCAGGCAGGGGAGTCTCACAGTATTAGACTGCACAGTGAAACACAAAGATACGATGTACAAAGACTATTCGCCTTTCAATACCCTGCAGGAGGATCTGCACAGAGAGGGCAGTTTCAGGAAGAATGCTGCGCTTCATTATACAGATAGTGTCTATTCGAACACGAGTCTTTCCAAGAATGATGATCTCCTTTCTTATAACACAAGAAATGAGACTAACATGGATAACCAAAAAGACTGCACTACGTCCATCCAAGATTGCGCTAAGCTCGAGTCCAATGATTCGAAAAAATCGGTAATCGACACCAAGTCTGTGTACGATAGCAAATTGTCTAACTCTTTGACTGAGTACACTGACTGCTACAAGAATATAAATCTATGCAGGCAGGATAGTTTCGGTTCCGACAGCGCGGTTGGTACCATGAAGAGTGACTTTTTCGCCGAGTTGGATTTCGTTCAATTGAGAGACGGTAGGCATACACCGGATTTGTGCCATACTCCTGATCGGTGTTGCACGCCGAACAGGGCGACGTCGCCAATCGAGAGCACAGCTCTGTGAAGCAACACAGTACACGTTTGTAACGAAACAAATCTCTCACTTTACTAATTTGATCTCTCTACGTTTAACCGAAGATCTGGCAATTTAACCGGTTTAGTTTTCGTTCGATAATTTTTTAACGTTTATAATCTTAAAACGGTACGATCATGTTGAGTATAGTTTTTGTTTGTTTTTTTTCTGGAAACCGTTATAGTATCGTGTAACCGCGCGTAGAAGTATTATTAACAATTTGACGTCCAGTATTAATGAATCTCATTACTGTCTGTCTGTATGGGTTTAAAGTACGTTTGAAAAGTGTGCGTAATGGCGCCCTTTAAACAGTTTG